TACTTAAAGGAGATATGCTACAGAGACGGATACTTTGCATTGGTATAAATCTTGGTTTATTGATAGAAATCTAAGGTCAATCTCATTATACTGTATATATATGTATATATATATATATATTTCTTATTTTGATTAAGGTATCGTGATTGTGCATCTCATTTAAAAACATAATGTAAAATTAAGAAATATGAGTAAATAGAAAGTCATCTATAATAGTCAAGCTTGTAGTCATGTTAGTTAGATTTTTTAGATGTACAGAGATGTATTCCAAATGGATAAAGATTTTTCAAATCTTTTATAGACCTTCAGAATAGGGCATATAATATTTTTTAATAACTTAGGACTTTCATTACAATGAGACACATCTGATCTTGGCAGCACCCAGCTGCTTCAAGAGGAAGATGGGCATCAAAGAGTCTCCTTATGGAGTTTGCTAGTCATTTGGGCAAGACACTGCTCGTTCCTGAACTGTTGAACTGGACATGCATGACCTGCAGAAGAATGACTACTGAACGTGCCTAAAGGTGAGATGATCCTTCGGGGTTTCTGCTTCATAAAAGAGTCTGTGAGACATTTTGCAGGATACAGACAAAAGTGACTGGCAAATGCCAATATAGGCAAAACTGTCTTTGAAATTTTCTGCTTCATGGAAAAGTCTGCTGGATACTATGGGCCTGTAGGCTGAAGATGGGTGCCCCAACAGTACAGAAGAACTTTGGGTGACTGTTCAGGCTGTGAGATATCTCTGTAATATCTAGAGCTTTGTACTTGCTCACAGTGTACTTCCTGTTTGCTTAGGTAATATCATATCCTTCTGGGAGTCTTTAAAGAGGTGAAAATTTATAGTTATAGTTTTCCTTAGTTATGATAAAAGATAAAGTAAATATAAACATTGTAACTGGAATTATTATTTGATACCTATTATATGTAATTTTACTATATTAAAGTTAAAACCATCCTTTTTATTTAAACAGAAAAGGGGAGGTGATGTGGAAGTCCTCTCTGTGTCCTATGATTATCATTAATGAATAAAGAAACTGCCTTGGCCTGTTAACAGGGTAGAACTTGGGTAGGAGGGGAAAACTAAATGGAATGCTGGGAGAAAAAAAGATGGAGTTAGAAAGACACTATGGATCTACCACCGATAGACATGCTGAAACTTTGCAGGTAGACCTTGTGGCGATTAATGGAGATAGGTTAAATTAATATGTAAGAGTTAACCAATAAGAAGTTAAAGCTAATGGACCAAGCAGTGATTTAATTAATACAATTACTGTGTGATTACTTCAATTCTGTGTGGCCAGGAAGAACAAGTGTCTTCTCCTATGGAATTGCAGCACTGACAGCATAAAAGTCGTACATTAAGTCTTACAGTAAAAAATCTCTCTTTAAGGCAATTAAATATCACTGCACATAAGAAAAGGCAAAAGTTCAAATACTCAGGTAAATACCTGTTTGTGAAAGAGTATATCTTAGAATCTAAAAGTAGCAGGGTTATATGTTTGTTTTGTGTATACATACATAAGTGTATGGGAGAATGTGAACACATACAAGGACACAGAGAAGAACACTGGGTGTCCTGCTCTATAACTCTCAATCTTTTATGCTTTAGACAAAGTCTTTCAGTGATCCTGTAGTGATGCGGATGGCAAGCAAATTCTAGCAATTCTTCTGTTTCTACTCCTTACCCAATAACTAGGATTATCAGTGCTTGATGACTTACTCAGCTTTTTAATGTGAGATCGGGAGATTTGATTGCAGATCTGCATGCCTGTGCATCATATTTGCTCCTGAGTCATCTAGACTGTCCAGTGCCAAAGATTTTCATGACTCATGTAAATTTTATATCCTCCATTAAAGAATCAAAGTCACTCCAGACTATTTTCTATATACTTTAAATTGTATGCACAAATGTTGAGGAGATTTTTAAGAGTAAAGTCAGTCACACACAGACTATCAAGATAATCTTCAAGTTTATTTTAATAAAGACCATGTACTCATTGGGTACTTTTAATTAGTTTCTAATTGTTCATATTTGTTAAGAATTAAATTCTCTACAAAAAGTACTGATGTAGTACTGAGAGAGCTGGGAAACTCTCTCAGGATTTGACAGAAGGGTTTAAGTTAGTAGTACCAGGTGCATAGCTATTATTGTTAGTGGGTAGTCTGTAATATTGGTTTTTACCATCTCAATTGTTGTGAAATCAAGGTCTGTATATATTGTTAACTTCTGAGATCTTGACTATACACACCTTCAGAAAGTTACTCTCAGCAAAGTCCAGGTAAGAGAACTTTTTAACTTTTTACTTAAAAAAACAACAAATGTTTGTTTTCTAGTTATTAGATAAATGCTAATTTCTCCTAAATATTGACTCTTGTCTTGAGTATGTAATCCAGCTCAAAATTCAAAACTATGTGGAACTGACTTGAATTACAATTCTGTAATCCATCTCCTTTTATGTTTGTAAGGTAGGATCCCCAAATATAAACGTATGGTTTCAAATTAATCACTTAAATAATTCAGGCATATTTTAAAGTATTTTCCAATAATGATTCATGCATCCCATTTAATTAATATTCTTTTTTTGCTGTGAAGTAAATCTTTATTTGAATATTGTTCTTATTGTATACAGTATTACTTTGCTAAAGTTAAAACTTTTAATTTTTTTAGATAGAAAAAGGAAAAAAGTGGACAAATATTATTTTAAGGTGTGTAACACTTTATTTATACTGCCATTATTTAGCTATATGAAGCTGTGGTTGTTTGCCTGTCTAAAGCACCTGAAGGGATTGAATTTCTATTATTTTGTCTCAATGTTTTGATTACAGGAAAACAAAATCATTCTGGCTGTAGAGTTATATAATGCAATTTGATAGTCAATGTGTCCCAGTGAATTAGTAAGTACTGAGAACTAGTAGCACTCAAAAGCAAAATGAAATTTGGATTCAAAGTTCTAGAATTCAACAATTTTTTTGTCTTTAAGTTTTTAAACGTAAGAATTTAATCCCTCTTCATTAGACTCCAACATGTCATGGCAAAAGTTAGAGAGCATGATATTCTAAGGAAACAAAAATCAGAAAAGTCAAGTTAATTTTTAATATTTTAAATTTTAATATTTTAAAAATTTGCATCATTTTTATGACGATGACAAATAAGTTTAAAGTTTATTTACTGCTTGTTTACTAATTGAAATACAAAGCCATGTCCCAAAGGGGTACAACCAAGACATTTTGTCTCCCATTTAAACATTTTATTTGAATCCTCCTTCAAATTTAATCATTTGATCCAGCTAGCTAGTGGAAAACTTTCTCCATAATTCTGGGAGATGGAGAAAGCTGTTGGGGACAAAAGTATGTTCTCATATATGGCTTCTCAGTCCCATCCCCTGACTGAAGGAGAAGGGTGAGAATTAGTTCTCAACAGGGAAGGAGTAGGAAATCACCACTCTTGTTATCACAGGAAACAATTAAGTTTCGGCTTTGTTCTCTAGGCTAAGTCTTGCTGACTACCAAATGCCCTAGTGCCAAACACATCTGGTGCCTGATGCTGCCAGGAATTCTGGGCAGCAGCATCTTTACAGGATACCAAGGGTTCTCCTGTCTTGTGAACAGGTAGAGAACTTTGAAGGGAGCAGAATCAAGATTGGGAAGGGGTGGTATGTGCTTATTAATTTCTTCTCCCACCTTACTTTTGAAAAGAACAGAATACCATATTAAATCTCTACACAAGTCAGTAAAGATAAAGAGATAAAAAAAAGAACCCCAGAAGAAAATAAAAATGAAATCATTTCGCCCACTTTAAAACCTGTATACACATTAAGTTTTTTCTATATATTTGTTTCGTAATTTCTCTTTCGGATTTTAACATTTTTTTACTATTTCAAAAAAATAAATTCCATAATTGAGCCCTTTTGCTTTTGAGAATTAAATCATACGATGTGAATCTACATTAATGTGACTTTAATATGCCATAGCATACTTTGAAAAGCGTATATTTCTACAGAAGGAGAAAATCAGAAAAGTCAAGATAAAATATTTTAAGATAACATTTTCAAAAAATAATGACATCAATGTTTACTTTATATATATTTCCTTACATTAGAGCCTAGGTAGAAATGAATAATTTATAAAAAGTTCATAAGAATTTTAAATGCAAAGTCACCCACCCCAGATCATCAGGATGAAGTTAGGAATTTATATATTCATATCTCTCCTAAAGCTTTCATTAAATCAAAAGTGTTCAAGTACAAATAGAAAAATGTAATATACTTCTTGGTGTCAGAGAGTTTTCAAGGAAAGAATGGTAAGAATGAAATTGTTTCAAAACTCAAAGTTCTTTAAATAATTTAAAGGACTGGGAGAACACATCAGTGGTAGACAAGACAGGTACAACTTGAATTAAATGTTATATGCAAAGCAGGTTTACAAAACTGAGCCAGGATTTATATATTCGAAAATCTTGATGGGAATAATGGCACAGACAGATTCAATGTTTATGAAAATGTTTATAAACAGGGAAGAAGAAAGTGAAGAGCACTATTTATTTAATGTTTGGGTAATTCTTATACAGATTAGTCCTTAGTAATCTTTGTGCAATTCACAAAAGTATATTTAACACATTAATGATATTTTTGTAAAAAGTGTTTCTCTTCCTGCTGAATTCATTAAAACTTTTCAGTTAAATAAAAATATACTTATATTGAAAACTTAGTTCTAATTTATTTTGATAAAAATTAACAAAACAGGCATTAAAATTAGTTTGAAACAATGGTTCAAATAAGTTTCCCTTGAATTTTAATGATATGATTACATAAGTTCATAAAGAAAAATCTTTTCTAATAAATAAACAGTTCCTTCTTTCAACAATAAAAGTATCCCTGTATTGTTAGTTAAATTTGGTGGTCATTGATGCCAACACTCTTTGAGAGGAAATAGTTTCAAGAAGCATAGCTGGCTGCATTCCAGAGACAATATCAGGTACACAAAGAAGAAATTTCCCTTTTATACACAGCAAATATAAAGAGAAAATTATATTCTCATCATTACAATTTTATATCTTTTTAATTATAGTGGCAGCAGATAAGGTGGCATGACTGAGAACAACTACTCTGTGACAGATGAATTCATCCTGGTGGGATTCTCAGATCACCCAGACTTGAAGCCCTTCTTGTTCCTGGTGTTCTCTGTCATCTATCTGGTCACGACAGTGGGAAATCTGGGACTGGTGGTCTTAATCTACAGGGAGCGCCGTCTTCACACACCCATGTACATCTTTCTGGGAAACCTGGCTCTCATGGATGCCCTCTGCTCCTGTGTTGTAACCCCCAAGATGCTAGAGAACTTCTTTTCTGTAGAAAAAAAGATGTCTCTCTTTGAATGTATGGTACAGTTCTATTTTTTCTGTCTTGCTGAAACTGCAGACTGCTTTCTTCTAGCAGCAATGGCCTATGACCGCTATGTGGCCATATGCAACCCATTGCAGTACCACACCATGATGTCCATGAAGCTCTGCCTTCAGATGATCACAGGAACCTATATAGCAGGAAACCTGCATTCAATCATTCATGTAGGTTTCCTTTTTAGGTTAACTTTCTGTAGGTCTCATGTAATCAAACACTTTTTTTGTGATGTCTTTCCTTTATATAGACTCTCATGTGTTGACCCCTATATCAATGAATTGATGATACTCATCTTTTCTGGCTCAATTCAAACCTTTACCATTATTATAGTCCTGATTTCATATTTATGTATCCTTCTTACTATATTCACTATGAAATCTAATGAGGGTAAAGGCAAAGCCTTATCAACTTGTGCCTCCCACTTTCTGTCTGTGTCAATATTTTATGGTGCTCTTCTTTCCATGTATGCTCATCCACATTCAGCCAATGATGGAGATAAAGATATACCTGTAGCTATTTTCTATGCCCTAATAATTCCTTTACTAAACCCTTTCATTTATAGTCTGAGAAATAAGGAAGTAATAAGTGTGATGAAAAAAACCATGAGGAAGAAATGATTCTGCAACATTAGAAAGCAAAGACCATCTCCTTTAGACATCTAATTTGAGCTAAAATGATCTTTTCTAAACACACCCATAATGCGAAAGTTGTAAAGTTAAAAAAAATGACTTTATTAAATTTTTTAAAACCTAAGGACATTTGAATATAATTATTTAATAATAAAAAATTCTCTTAAAATATGTTATAATTCCTTAGGACTAAATTAAGGAATGGTTGAAGTATTGGAATATATCTAGTCTCAATTGTAAACAGATTTAAGGAATTTTAGGAATAAAGGTAACAGCTTTTTAATATCATTAGCAAGTGTCCAAATTGCAGATCTTAAAATTTCAAGCAAATTAAAAGTTGATATTAATAACCTCATTATAAGCAATTTCATAGTGGATCATAGCCTTTTTGGATCAATGATTTTAAATGTGATATTAGTTCTTTCACTTCAATATATTTTAATATATAATTACCCAAAATATTTATTCTCTCACAAGAATATATTCATGGTGAGTTTTAGTCAGTTTTTATTCTCACATTTTCTGAACTACAATATATGTATAAGGATTATCATTCTGTGCATCAAAACAATGCTATTACAATAAAAATTCTTTGTTTTTTAATTTTTGATTTATTTGATAATTTGTCCATCATATATGACACTTCTATTCTGAAATGTATCCATTAAATCAGAGTTTTTAATCCTCCATAACATTATCACTGTTTAATTGCTTAAACCATATATAAAGAAGTACAAGAAACCAAGAATTGCTGAGAAGCGGAGAAATAATATTCCCCACAGAAGAAAACACCAATTGGTTACCCAGAATCAAATAGTCAGCCATGAAATAAACATATAAACAAATAGCAATAGACTAAGCATGTTATATTTCATATGTAGGCATATTCCCTTACTGTACCTATATTTGGTTAAGTTAACATTTAATATCACTTCGTGTTTTGCTGGTTGTGGTAGTAATGAAAAGTGTTTGTTTGCACTTTTCTTGAGCTCAAACACCTGAATTCCCACTCATACATTTGGCATTTCTTTCCATCTGTGGAGACTGATCTCACTGAATAGGATAAGTCAACAATGAGTCTGTGTGCATCAATTATTGCAAAGACAAAATTCTTTTATCAGTGCTGAGGACATAAAGTAAATGAGAATAAAATTTAAATATTTAGTAGACAATTTGACCACATAACCTTTTAGTAAGACAAAAGAAATTAGTTCACTCATATGTCTATGACTATGCCAGTGAAATCATCTGGTTTGGCAAGTTGGTATTATAGCATAAAGTGTCCAAAGCTCAGAAAGATTACTTTTGCAAAATTTTAGCCATCAACTGCTTAAATAACAAATTCTTGCACTATGAAAGCTAGACAGCTAGGAAAAAAATCCACCATGGTTTACTTTTGTTTGAAAACCAGGTGTCTGTATCTATGCAGTTGTGGAGTACAACCAAGGGCAACAGCCCTAACCTGTACAGCTTGGTAGAGCTTCTGGGGCTAAATTAATAATACACTTCCACAGCAAATAGCTATTCTAGTCAACTATACTATAAATCATTTAATCATATGCATGAAACTGATTAAATTAGGTGAAACACTGAGTTGTAATGAATTAACCTGTTTCAACATATCACTATTGTTTTCTGAACATGAATTATTTAACATTTTGTAGCTCAGGAGTTTCCTGAACTATTTTCTGTGATTCTGAAATGTGCTTGATTAAGAATTGCTGAATTAAAACCAATTGCGACCTTTTTTCAGTTCAGATTTTTAATATTCATTTTGTTTAATTTGTTAATATCCCTAAACTAAACTACATATAATACAATCCATATCTATGTTCAGCATGCAAATACATATAATATATATAATATATCTTAAAAATATTTTACAAACTGAATTTTTAGATGTTCCTCATGATTTGATGAATTTACTTTTTCAATAAATCAGAGAACATTGTTTTCCATATGTATCACTAGCTAGCATTCTGTTCCATTTCTACCACCAGTGACTCATAAGTTCTGTTCATCTTATTAGAGGAAAGGCTGTGTTTAATCTTTCGTTAACCCAAACCCTGCTTTTATAAATAATATATCAAAATTACATTCTTCCAAAGATTCTTATATATCATTTCTCCATGCTATTAATATCTTACTAATCACACTAATACATAATATAAAGAGACAGTGTTATATTCTGAAGTCTGCACATACAGGTATCAATAATTTGGGTATTGTGTTCTTTCCATAATCTCATCTGTGAAA